CACAAATGAGAGTTTTGCAGGATATAATATTCTGAGCTGGCAGTTTTTTTCTCTTAGTACTTGGGCTATATCTCACCATTCCCTCCTAGCCTGTAGGGTTTCTGATGAGAAGTCTGCTATGAGTCTAATTGGATATCCTCTGAGAGTAATCTGACTCTTCTTTATGTTTCACTGTGGTGAGTTTGATTACAATGTGTCATGGTGATAATCACTTCTGGTCATGTTTATTAGGGGTTCTATGTGCTTCCTATACTTGGATGTCTCTGACCTTCTCCAAACCTGGGAAGTTTTCTGCTAGTATCTCACTTAAAAGGCCTTCTAATCCTTTCTCTCTCTCCATGTCTTCAGGAACTCCTAGAACCCAAATGTTGGTTTTTTAATAGTATCCTGTAGATTCCTGACAATATTTTTTAGATTTCTAATTTCCTCTTCTTTTCTTTGGTTTGACTGTGCTCTGTCTTCTAAGTCCAATATTCTTTCTTCTATCTCACTGATTCTGTTTTTAAGGCTCTGAAATGTGTTTTTCATTTGTTCTATTGAATTCTTCATTTCATTTTGATTTCTCTTCAATATCCCAATTTCATGTTCTACTAAATTCCTCATTTCATTTTGATTCCTCTTTATGGTTTCATTTTCACAAGAGAGATTTTCTGTCCTGTCCTGTATGGATTTCTGTAGTACATGCATTTGTTTTTGATAACTTCTAAATGTTCTTATCATACATTTTTTGAATTCCATATCTTGCATTTCTTCTATCTCATCATCTTCATAATCTTGTATTGGAGTGTCATGTTCATTTGATGTCTTCCTTGTTCTTCCTTGTTCTTGTTCCCTCGGTTTCTGTGTTTGTTGTTTGACATTGTGGAGATATTCTGTGGTTTCTTCTTTTTTTCTTGCTGTCATTATATTTCGCGTTATACTATGACTGTAGATTAAGTGGGCTGTCTTCTTTTGGTGAATCTCTAAAGGCTTGTGGTGGGTATGGCCAGAAAGCTCTGTTCAGTTCTTCAGGGTTAAGGTTGTGCCAAAAGTGACACACCCAGGTTTGGTGTGGTAAATCTTCTCTCTCTCTCTTTTTTTTTTTTTAATCAGAGGGGAAGTAATTCTGCTCAACTGAGCTCTTCTCCTTTCATGGCAATCAGAGCCTGAGCGCTAGCCCCAGTGGGTATAATATTTGTCTGCTCTGTCCCAAGGACCACACTAAGGATCTGTTCAGTCCTCAATGTAAGCTCAGATTCCCCTGCAATGTCTCTCACCGTGTAGCCAAAGCCCCCGAATTTGTGGCATCCCTCACCGAGACTACTCACATCAGCCACACCATGAGTTCTCCCACACACCCTCAGTTTTTTTCACAGTCCCAGTTCATAAGCTCCACACATTCACTAGGTCTTAGTCTACTGTTATTTCTCCCCACCAGAGTCAGGTTTTTCTGCTTGGCTGAGCGCTGGCCCGGACCCTGAGCTGGCGCACCTGTTACGTACGTCCAAAATGGTGCCTGCTCTTTGTCTTGCTCACCTTTGTAAGGTGAGTGGAGAGAGAGAATCGTGTCCATACTGGTCCCTTTTATTTTTTTTCTCTCCTCTAGTTAGCCTGGTGTACTTCCCCCACAGGGCTTCAAGCCTTGTTCCCTCTAGGCTCTTCCTGCCACTTTTCTGTGTCTTGGGCTACTGTGGTTTCAACTCACCTCCCTTTCCAGCACTGGTGTATAGACTCGAAAGCTGGGATCCCGAGCCATGGGCGCCCATGCCCTCCACATAGGTTCACTGTGTCCCACTAATTCCAGAAGAGTTTCCTCTGCAGTTTTTTCCCTAACTCTTCTCTGAGACTACAGTATCTCCACTTTCATTAAACTATCTTTTCCTGCACTATCAGTGAGTTTCCTCCCTATTCCGCCATCATGGAGCCTTCCCAGTAAGTTGTTTGAATTGTTACCTCACAATTGAAACTATTTTCTGTGCTCATCAAAGGAGACAACACAAGCTGTTTTATTTTCAGCCAACAAACACTAGTGTGCAAGACTGCCAGCATCGTGGCCCAATGAGTATCTTCTGTACTGGCTACAATTCAATAAGCTTTGCAACCCATGGGATTCTACATTTGTAGTGCCACTTTGTGCTGCCTGACCACTTGTTTTGAGCTGTAAAACTTCAAAAGTGATCATCTTGGATCTGCCCCAAAGATTGTTTTAATCTTTGTGTGTGTGTGTGTGTAAATAAGTAAATACTTAGGATTGATTGATAATACACCCTATGCAAGCATGTGGAATATAACAGTTTCAGTAAAGAGTGTGAAATTTGTAAATGTATTTATTTGGTAACTAAACAGCACAGAATGAAATTTGTAAACTTACATTATATTTGAAATTATGTACAGGTAGTTAATAAGCTAAAATATGAGAACTTAGAAGACAATATAAACTAACACAACATACAAAGAGGGAAATAATTTATAATAAGAGCGTTATTAAATGGGATAGAAAACAAAAAAAAAGAGAAAATCAAAGCCAAAAGCTGGTTGAAACCTTTGGAAAGCTTAATTGTGAAGAAAAAGAAAATAAGAAAGCAAGTAACATTGAGACTGAGAGGAGAGATTTTGCTGCAGATACAAAAAATATAAGTAAATTTTATGAACAATGCAATGTATTCCCTAGCAAAGTTGAAGACATACATGTCATACAGCTAGCAATTGCCCCTATGATGCACATTCGTGGTACGAACTCCAGAAAAGCACGTGCACATACTCTACTCAAGGATGTTCAGAATTCAGCCTGCCAGGATATGAGAGAGAGAGGGTGCTCTGTGCAAAACATAGTCTCTACCTGGTGACAAGCTGCTTTGAGTTGGAGTGGATGTGTCAGTAGAAAAGCAATTAGCCAGAGTTCTAGGATATTAGTGCCCAATACTTTGTCACAGATCAAAGCAAACTTGCTTTCCTTTGAGCTAAAAAACACTGGGAGGAGAGAAGACTGCTGTGTATGTTGAGGGGAACTCTCCACTGTTGCTTTTCCTGAGCATTCTTCCTCAGGTGTGCTGGCAGGTGGCAAGATGTAAGACAAGACAACAGCCGTCATGCTGGTGGGGAGTGAGCCAGGCTGAGGAAACATTTAAGCACACTTTATACCTGAGGATTTTTATTTCAGAGTTGTAGCTACAGGTGTACACTTGTAAATAACAGGAGAAAGGCTCACTGCTGCCTGTCAGGTTACTCTCTGTAACTTTACTGAGAAGGAAATTACTATTTTATTATGTTTGGTGGAGCAACAAAGACTATATGAAATTATTATGAGGTCACTCTAAGAGTAAACTTTTGAATCCATTATCATATCTCTTTGGGGATATGACTCAATTTTTCGCTTTCCATTGCTTTAAAATTCTCTCAGTCATCATTTCACATTGCGAAACAGCGCTCAAGATGTGCCATACCACTTACATTGCAGAAGATTCTGTGAAGGGTGGAATATTCTCTAGTATATGAAAATGAAAAATGCAAACTTCTACTAAATTTCTAGCAGAAATATCATCATTTCTTCAAATAGTCCACATACATGTCTCTCCATAACATGATCTTAAGCTACCTAATTTTAAAGGTCTTGGTGTTAGTAAGTTCTTACTTTCAACCCTTAGCAGATATGATTATATCCAGCAGTGATTTGTAGACTTTCCTTTATTTTCTTGGATTTTATGGCAAATGGGTAAATATTTACTTTCTAATCTCAGAGTTACCTAGAGATAAATATAAGGTGCAATTTTTCCATTTCATCCTTTTTATTTAAAATACTGCTGTAGTTAAGTCATTCTTTTCCTTTGTGCTTCATATTTAATAAATACTTTTATTATTTGGGATATAGATGGCAAACTCAATTCCTCAGCCAGACACAGAATAACTATACAGCATATAAATTTCAGACAAATGAGACTATAAAATATAAAAATGATCATTAAAATAAGAACCTTTTCCTCAAAAGTAGCTTAAGGGAAATGATTTTCGTAGTTCTAAATCTTAAAGCATCACCAGCAGATAAATGAAGGTTAGCACATTCTACATATGTGTAAAATTTTGTAACTTCAATTTGTTTGTCTGGAAGGTCTCCTGAACAGAAGAGATTTCCAGGCAAAAACTAAATACAATCTTCATGGGAATACTGTAGTAAAATTGAAGCATCAAATGAATGATTTAAAGACTTTGAAAGTCACTTCCATCGCTGAGAATTTTTATCTCTAAATTACTAAGAGAGTAGTGGAAATTAAGTAAACAGTGACCTAGTTTAACTATGAATTTGGAAGCATTGCTCATACAAGTAAAGGTTGAGTAACCCTTATCTGAAATACTTGGACAAAGAAATATTTTATTTTTCAACATTTTTAGTGTTTTGAAATATTTGCATATACACAATGTGACTGGAGTCCAAACACAAAATCCATTTGTGTTTACACTTTATGCACGTAGACTGATGTAATGAGATAGTTTTAATGTGCCTGTGTTTTGACAATCATCATATGAGGTCATGTGTGGAATTTTCTACTTGTGGCATCATGCTCATAAAGTTTGGGATTTTTAGAGCATTTCAGATTTACAGATGAGAGATACTCAACCTATACAGTGTTTTTTCTTTCTTTAGATGCCCTGCTGAAATATCATTATAACTTTATAGAGTTGTTTTGTGTAACACTACATAAAGACTATCGTACGTTGAATGTGTCCAGACCACTGGCAATTTTTGAACAGAGTCTCAAGGACACATAACATGTTCTGTGCTAGTAGACAGGGGAGCTCACTTAAAAGAGTAGTTGTGGGAAGTACATTGCAGTATGCAGGGAGGAATCAATTCTCCCTCAAAGAAAAAAAAAAAAAACACACAGATCACTTGATTGCTTAAAGTTGACTCAACTTCAGTTTCTACTACTGGGAAATCACTGAGCAATAGATCAAAGCAATTGATTTCTGGATAAAAGATTTCAAACTTTAAAAATCAATTAATTTATTTTTCCTTTCACCCACAGGCCTACCCACGGATAGCGCCGGCATTTTGGCACTACCTGCGGGTAGAAGTGAGTAGCGGGTCCTTGAATTCTCCCACCTTTGCTCCTTGCACTCTGCTGGTGTGTTCTGATCCGATGTGCCCATTTTTCTCAAGTTGCAGCTGCCATTCTGTGTAAACGTGTTCTCACGTCACCACCATTCCTTAGAGCTGGGTCAAAAATCTGAATTGCTAACAACACTAGCGCAGTTCACTAGTACAGTTTCCTGGCATACGATTAATCACCTTGCTTGATAAAATTCCAAATCAGGGCCATATCATGTGCATCATAATGATAAACAACTAACTACTAAGCTATAGAAAACCATGCTTACACTTCTTTTTAGTCAACACTTTCAATATTGAGAGGATAATTCCTCAGTAGAACTTGGGGCTGTCTGGAGGAAATGGTAGGGTCATGCTGCTTTATTTCCTTTCTCCTCTGTTCTGTTCCCCAGGAGCATGAGCAGCTCACCTATTCCTCCACGAGATCCAAGGCCCCCAGTGTCATCATCACAGGTCTCAAGCCAGCCACCAAGTACATATTTCATATCCGAGTGAGGACTGCAACAGGATACAGTGGCTACAGTCAGAAGTTTGAATTTGAAACAGGAGATGAAAGTAAGTTTCACACAAGGATATAAACTAACATGTTAATTTAGTGCCATCCCAGCTTATCCTGGTATTTTAAAACCAGGTGTCCAAAGTTTTTGACAGTCTTTTTAAATGGGATACTGTTCATGCCAATGCGCATACGAGTCATTTCAGCCAATGTTCTGGTTCTGTCATTAAACACTTCTATGATATGCTTTGCTCTATCACAACTGTAGTGTGGCCCAAGTATGTCCCTTTATGCAGAATTCATCACTCGTGCCATTACACAGAGTCTTAATGGATGATGTTAGTCTGGTTGTTTACCAATCCTGGCATCATGATATGTATGATACTAATGAAAAGCTGGAAAGGAATAAGGCTTTGTTCAAATTTGGACAGCTTTGGTTTGTTTATCTCAGATCAGTAAAGTCAGTGATCAGGAGACAAACTCGACTGAGATGCACATTATAAGTTTAAATATATACACATAGGCTTAATTAATTGCATTAGTTCCGTAACCTCAACATACTGGAAACCAAAATGGAAGATGAGGAGAATAAGTGAGGTGTTACATTGTCATATAGCACAAGCTTTGAAATTTCTTACTCATTCTAAACCCAGCTCTACCATGACTTCCTTCTGCCTTTCAGAAACTCATTTTAGGGGCAGGTGTTATGGTGCAGAAAGTTAAACTGCTGCTTGGGATGTCCACATCCTGTATCAGAGTGTTTTCAGTTCAGTTTCCTGCTATTGCATCCTAGGAGGCCACAGATAATGTCTCCAGTGCTTGGTCCCTGCCACTTCTGTGGGAGATCCAAATGGAACTCCTGGCTCAGGGCTTTGGCTTGAAGCAGTCACACATGATGTGGCAATCTGGGGTGTGGACCAGTGGATGGGAGATCCCTTTCACTATCTGTCTCTCCTCCTCTCTCTCTGCCTTTCAAATAAATAAAAATGAATAAATAAATAAGTCTTTGAAAAAAATTTCACTACAAAATAGTTTTGTGGATAATATAGGTTGCTTTTTCCAAATATGTCTTTGGAAAAATGTACAAATAGATAAATATAATAACAACCTGTTCCCATCATTGCTAAAATGCTATCTTAATAATTCAATAAGAGCAATTTACTATAATAATTTCTATGGATTAAATAAAGGTAAGATTTAATGAGATTTTATTAATGCCTAAAATGATGTGAAGTATTTTCCATGTATTCTTTCATTCAGACCTTTCAACATGAATAAGTCAAATTTTCTTTTCCTAATTTTACTTTTAAGAAAACAGAAGATTAAAGGATTTAGGGAATTGGTTCAAATTCATGAATCCGGTAAGAAGCTGCGCTAAAATTTGAAATTCAGGGCTGTCTTCCTCCTAAAGCTGTGCTATAAGTACTCTATCATCCTGCCTGCTGAGTCCCATAATTTTAATTTAGGATGAAGTGTTAGTTGTAAAACCATGAAATAAGCTACCGTTTCTCCAGTTTATCACTCTCTTGAAGTGAAGCTACTTGGGTCCCAAGTTCTAACACAGATGGAATGTGGTGTTATTGTTGCATTGACAAACAATATTGATTTCAAAATCTTATCATTTCTTATAACTATTTCTAACTGAAACATGGAAACTGTCTGACATTTGTAAGTAAGAAGGAACAAAACTTAGGGAGAAAGAATAAACCAATTATTAAAAAGACTTGTGATCTGGATTTTAAATGTCAATAACTGTCATTTATAATGCTATTGGAGGCAATTGACTCCTTAAAACAAGAGTTTGAATTATTGGGAATAGAGTACAGTATTCACAACTTCACAATTAAATCTATACAAAAATAGCCAAAGGACTGTACTTACTGTGTCCAAGTGACTATCATTTTTCTGCCAATCTGTCAAGCCCTAGCCTAGATGCAAAGCCTGGGATACATCCAAGGAAAGGTTAGTCCAAGGAAGAGTCAAGTCATTGCCTTTTCTGGGCAGTGTTCACTCTTCCGTCAGAAAAAATTTCATAAAATCAATCCAAATAAGTCTTTTATGTTCATTTGGGGCTTATACAGAAAGTAATCAGTTCCAATTTTAAAAATCCCTTTCCATCTAAATATTAAAAATATGTTTGGTTTTAAATCTAAATTTCAACTCACTGTAATTTCAGAGCAATAATAATTCCTTCAGATGTTATATAGAAAAAATATATTTACTCAGTAGAAAGACCCCATACTCACCAGTGACTCAGTACAACATTCATCTGCTCAAGAAAAATCTACACAGAACTTAATATGTGCCTTAGTCAGTGTGAGTCCCTGAAGATTAAAAAAAATGGTACTAATAAGAGCTATAATCTGTGTACTCCCATAATTTATATTATATAGGTTTCTGGTGGAAAAATTTAAACAAAAAATTACAAGAATGGTGATGTGTCCTTTCATAAAAATATGCAAACAGAACATGGGAGCATAGAAAAGATGCCATTTTTCAGCACAGATGGGTCCTGAAAGGCTTCTGGAAGTGATCCAACTGGGCCTCATCCTTGAAAGAGAGGTAGCCAAGGAGCAGCTAAAGCACTGAGGCCTGAGACAGCATAAATGTTTTTAAAGATTTATTTATTTGAAGGGCAGAGTTAGAGAGAGAGACAGATCTTCCATCCTCTGGTTCACTCCCCAAATGGCCACAACAGCTGGAGCTGTGCGAGGCCAGACCCAGGGCCACGAGCCTCTTCTCAGTTCCCATGTGGGTGCAGGGGCCCAAGCACTTGGGCCATCTTTCACTACTTTCCCAGGCCATTAGCAGGGAGCTGGATCAGAAGTGGAGCAGCCAGACTCAGTCAGCGTCCATATGGGATGCCTGCATCGAGACAGCAGCTTTACCCACTAATTACACCACAGCATCAGCCCCAGCATGAAAATTTAAGAGCAAATGGTTTGATATTTGCTGCAGTGAGGATACATGAGTGGTGAAATGGTGGAAGATGAAGGTGGGGGGTTGAAGTCCAAACAAAGGTGCTCTTTTGGACACATTAGGGTTTTTGTATCCTGAAGGTATTGAAGGTCTACTGTAGAATTTGTACTCAAACATCATGTTCAAGATTCTACACTGAGAAGTTTGCATGCATTTAATTCTAATAAGACTATGCTTTTTTAATTTTGTAAAAACTTTAATTTATGCATTTGTTTTATTCAAAAGGGAAAGGGGGGAAAGAGACAGAAAGAGAGGGAAATCTCCCATTTGCTGGTTCACTCCCTAACTGTACACAACAGCCTTGGCTGGGCTAAGCTAAAACCAGAAACCAGGAACTCAATGCAGGTCTCACACTCACAGACTTAGACATCTGTGCCTTTACTCGTTGCTTCCATGGTATATGTTAGCTGGAACCAGGATTGGAGCAAGGACTCAGGCGCAGGCTCTCCAGTGTGGGATCCTGGCATCACAGCAGCATCTTTACTGCTGTACCAAATGCCCACCCAAGATTATACCTTTTTTTTAATTAAGAAACTCATTAGCCTTAGCATCTTCTGGCAACTAGTGAGTGAAGAAACACTATTAGAACCCTCAAACCAACTGATAATGGCAACAAAATAAATGAAAGCTTTGATCTGAATTTCTGATCATGAATGTCATGAAAGTGACTTTGGTTAAACCCTTGATGAGACAATATCTGAGAAGAATCTTGAAAATATGTTGTCTAAACCTTTTGTTTGTGTGCATAAAATGGGTCTTAATCAACAGCTGAAAGGGAAATAATTTAAAAGATACTTTTTATTGTCTGATTAGACTTAAATTGCATTCTTTCAAGCATGCTATTTAAAGGCAATAGAGAATTTCAATGAAAAATGGTAAGAAATGGGTAGATTTACCATGAATTCAAGAATTTGATAATATGAATCCCAACTGATGGTGTCAGTTCTTTTCTCTTCCTACCCTGTTGGCTCATGTTTACATTTTTATAGGTTTTGTTGCTCAACTATTGCCTGAACTATTGTAATGTCTACTTTATTGCTAAATTTTGTCTTGTTTATTCCACTTAATAAACTAACTTACTTGGAAATTATTCTTAATTTATTTGAAAGGCAGAGAGACAGAGAACTTCACCCACAGGTTCACTTGTCAGTTGTCTGGCACTGCCAGGGCTGGACCAGGCTTAGGCCAGGATCCAGGATCTCAATCCTAGTCTGCCATTTGGAAGCAGGGACCCAGGTACTTAAGCCATCACCTGCTACCTCTCATTGTGTACATTACAGGAAGCTGGAATCAGAAGTGGAGCTTGGACTTGAATACAGGCACTTCATATGGGATGTGGGTATCCTAAAGTGGTGTCTTAACTGCTGCAGCAAATGCCCACCCTTAATTGACTAACTTCATAATGCATGAATTATGCATTATTGTTTGGGGAGAGGATACTAGTTAGTCTCTCATTTGATGATCTGGTTCAAACTTTTAAAGTAAACAAAATGACATGGTTTATAATTCAGTTCTCTTCAGTCATATCTAACTTACTTTGTTCCACATCTAGTTCGCTACTAAGACAATAACATCAAATAATAAATAAGTCCTTTCAAAATCATAACATTCTTACTACTTGTTTTTGCAAACATCATGGCTACACAAAAATCATGATGAGCATTAACAACTTAAATTAAAAATGACTGAATCACAGTAGATATTTAAAAATAAAATCTTATGTCACAATTTACACATTTATAAAAAAGTTACAGATATAAATGTAAGGATCACTTCATTTTTTATAAAAACATCCATAAGATTTAGTTATTTTACTATGGTCTGATATTGAAGCAATTTTACCTATTTTAATAATTTCTACATGGTATATAATCCACAAAACCAAGGTGCAATGTAATACCTGCAGTTTCTACTGTCCTAATGCACTCTTTAGAATTCTGGTTGACTAATTTTTCTATTTACCTCTTTAAATACTGAAAAATGCTAAACCTTTAGAATTTTTATTGAATAAAATGTGAATTTCTTACCAGACATGAAGATCTCTCCAAATCTAATCCAGGTTGACATCTTTCCTCTTTAG